AGCTAAATTCTTTAGACTTTTGAAATAAATCTCTGGGGGGAAACTATTTATGGACACTATATATTTTATTTGGAACTATTTTTCGTCACTGGGATTCTCTTAAATACTATTAGATTAAACTAATATCCACTCGAGTTAATATATTTATATATTAAGCAATTTTAATATTCAAGTTAGGATGTAAATAGCAGTAATTATCTATAAAAAAAACAGCGCGTTTGCCTGTGGCACGAAAGTAGGTCAGTATTTCTAAAAGCCAGCACAGTGCAAACCTCATAGACATCTCAAACGAAAAAACTGGTGCTTTGTAGAGGGGTTGATCACGTGACATTGCACTAAAATAGTTTCATAGAATTCTCCTTTATTCGTTCAGTCTATCCGCCATTGGAACTGATAAAACAAATCAATTGAGAAGGTAAGAGAATGAACTATAATATTACCAACTGCAAAATAGAGAGAGAAAGATTACGAATAAAATTTCTCTATATAAAACAACATAGAAGGTCAACGAAATCCTTTAACCGTTTAATAATACTATACCTTGATATGGATAAGAACATATCAACAGTTATCTTATTCCTCCTAACCATTTCCCAGGCTGAAATCTAACTTTCAAATATTTCATTTATGGCCGTTTTCATTTATGGCCCTTGATACTTTCTATTTATAGATCATACAAAGATGATAAACACGTTTAAAAGATTGTTAAATATCGTAACAATTTTTAATTGTATGACACCAAATTTTGCGGGTAAAACCTGTTAATTATCTCTATTTATATATAGTGAATTTTGTTTATTTTGCAGTAACATTCCTTTCCGCTCCAAAGTATGTCGTAGCAAAACTGGGAGATACGTTTGATATACATTATTCGCTTAGCGGTGAAACAGTTCGCTTAACGATCTTTTTTTTTCTATTTTCGCTTTTTATGTTCTTTTTTAGAAGCTAAACAAATTCGATTAGAAAGTTTGTACAATGATACATCGGCTAGTATATTTGAACCTCCAAACTTTGATGCAAAGTTTAAAGATAGATGGAAAGTAACGCCTAGTGGAGAAAGTTCATCCTATACTTTCACCGTCACTTCATCGGAAAAAGTAAAATAGTTGAATTATGAATTTTGAAATAATATTTAAATTATTATAAAAAATAATAGATTGATGGTCTTCATATTAACGCTTCAATTGTGGGTGGTTCAAGCACTGATTATCGTAAAACTGGAGTAGTTTTATATGGTAAATGTGTATATTCAAAACACGCAAATAAAGATATCTAACTCTCTCTCTCTCTCTCTCTTTACAGAATCAAATCCAACAGCCGAAGAATATCCTAAAACTGTTATTGAAGGTGAAAAATTTAACGTTGTATTTGATTTTAAATTCTGGGGTGCTGGAAGTTTTGGTAGTAAACTTTTTGTAAATGATACGTGGATATCTTCGTCGAAGACTGAATCAATATTTTATGACGGATTAGCTAAATTTAAAGAGGAACATAAGGCTACTTGGAAAATAGATAATCAAAATATGTATTTTGAAGTGAAATTGTATAGAAATGACGATACAGATTTTGTTAGATTTAAGAGTGATGATATAAAAATTCGCGTTGAATGTAAAGACGTCTCTTTTATTTTCAATTTGAAATATTCATTATCTTTCATTTATAGATAAAGTACGTGATATAAAAATTACGTCTGATCAAGATAATTCAGACAAACTTAAAAATGGTGATGAGCTAATTTGTACTGCAATGGGAAATCCAGTTCCTAAATACGAATGGCGAAAAGTAAAATCATTTTATTGATTCTAAATTGTTCCTCTATTTGTTTTCTTAAAAGGCATCTTCTAAAGTTATCCTCTCAACTAGTTCTAAAGTGAAAATTGAAGGTTCAGGCAACGTGGTTTACGAATGCACTGCCTGGAATGTTGTTAATGGAACTAGACATACATTAGCACAAAAATCTTCCCTTTCAATAAGTAAGCTGTTGCGATTTCTTTAATCTTTTTCTTAAAAGAGTGTTTTCAATTTTTTAGATTCTGCCTCAATACCTGGAAAATTTGATATGACTCTAATCTCATCTATCCTTTTATCATGCATCGTCATTTATAAAGAAAACCTTATTTAAAGTCTTAAACACTATGTATGGGTTCTATGTTATATATTCTAGATCAGTTCCTAAACGTGTTGTCAAATTGTTCTTTTTTTTTTTACTGTAAAATTTATGTTGGCCTAATCTCTTAATTCATAATAAAAACAAAATGAAGACAACTGCCTTTCTTTTCTTTCTTGGAATTGTATGAAAATTTTTAGTTTTCTTTTAATCTTAGGCTAAATCGTAACATGTTATGAACACTTACGGTTGATCAATTGTATCCATGACTTTAATCACGTGACCCTTTTCACACGTATAAAAATAGGAAAATATTCCATGTTGCTTAATTAATCATATTTACAATATTAAAATGGCGGCTAAAGGATACTTTATTAAAGATGAGGAGCTAATATGCGCTATTTGTTTAGAGTCGTGGGTTGAAAATGATCCAAGAATACTTTTCTGTCATCATACATTTTGTTTGAAATGTTTAGAAAAACTACCAATTCAAAACTCTCTAGTTAATTGTCCTGAATGTAGAAGAACGACCAGACTACCTCAAGGTCAGATAAAAAGATTGCAAAAAAATCTATTAAAATGTTCATTGGAAAAATCATCCATACAAAAACATAATTTATGCAAAGAGCACGAAGAGGAAACATCAATTTATTGCCAAACTCATAATATCGAAAACATTTGTGTTTTATGTTGGGAAGAAAAGCACTCGGATTGTGAAATATCTCCTATGGTAATAGTTGAAAAAAGAAAAGAAATGATGAGACATTACCGAGTGAAAGAGAACGAGAATAGGGAAAGAATTTTACTTCAAATTTCCCATCGCGAATACGAATTGAACATGAAAATACAGAATGAATTTGAAAGAGTTAGAAGAAAATTTCAAGCGATTATTGAAGAAAGAGAGAAATGTTTTAATTCTAATTTACACCAAAACAAACAAATAGAAGATTTTCTGCAAAATATTCCAGATTTAAACGTTGAAATTACTGGAGATATTCAATCTAATTACGACATTCAAAGTAGGTCAAATGATGAAAAAACAAAAATAACACATAATATAAAGAACAAAAAAGATCCAATAAAAGTTTTTAATGAAAAGGAATTGAAAGAAAATATTAAAAATGGTTTCGATATTCTTCAATCTACTAAACAATTGATAGAAATTAATTTACAAGATTCTTCATTGACTGGAGAAGAATACAAAGAAATTGGAAATTTACTTGGAAATTATTCAAATATTGAATCAATCAACTTGAAATGGAATGCTAATATTGGAAGCAGATTATTATATTTCTGTAAAGGACTTGTCCAATCATCACAGACTTTGACTAATGTCAATTTTTTTAAATGTAATTTTAATGGTGGAAGTTGTTCAATGTTGGAAACTTTGTTTAAAAATTGCTCTAAACTAGAAACAGTGGATCTAGGACTGAACAAAAATATGGGATTGGGATTGGAAAATATCTGTAATGGACTCTTCTATTCATCTAATACTTTGAAAAATCTCAATTTTAAGAGCTGTAATTTGGAAGAAGAACAAGCTAAACCGATTGGAAAACTGTTGACACATTGTTCTCAAATAGAAGGAATAAATGTTGGAGGGAATGGAAATATTAAAGATGGATTGATAGATGTTTGTCAAGGTCTTCTTCAATCTTCAAAAACTCTGCGAAACATTGATTTTCATAATTGTAAATTGAATGAAAAGCTATGTGGAAGTTTAGGTAACCTGTTGAAAAGTTGTTCTCATGTAGAAACTATCAATCTAGGATGGAATAGAAATATGGGAAATGGATTAAAATATATCCTTGAAACACTTGTTCATTCATCAAATACTTTAGCAAATATCAAATTTAACCATTGTAATTTGGAAAAAAATGAAGGTATTAGAATTGGAGATATGTTGGAGACATGTTCCAAAATAGAAACAATTAATCTTAGAGGAAATTCGAAGATACAAAGAGGAATGGAAAATATATGTAAAGGACTCGTTCATTCTTCAAATACCTTGAAAAATATTGATTTTCATTCATGTGATTTACAAGAAGAAGATTGTAAACAGATTGGAAAATTGTTAAAAAATTGTTTTATATTAGAAACAATTAATTTTGGATGGAATAAAATGATGAAAAATGGATTAATTGATATTTTCGAAAGTCTTATTCACTCATCAAATTTTTTAACGAATATCAATTTTGAATATTGTAATTTAAACGTACAACAGAGCGAAAAGATGGGAAATCTATTTCAAAATTGTTCTATAATAGAAACAATTATCTTGGGAGGGAATGATAAGACTGGAATTGGATTAAGATATATTTGTCAAGGACTTTATTATTCATCAAATTCTCTGAAGAATATAGATTTTCATAAATGCAATTTGAACACTGATCAATGTATAAATATGGCAACCCTTTTAGCACGTTGCTCTAAGATAGAAACAATTAATCTTGGATGGAATCGATGTTTAACCAATTCATTTATATATATTTTAGAAGGGCTTAGATCGGCAAAAACTTTGAAGTGTGTCAATATTTTACATATTGATCTTCATATTTCCGAGATACAGGCTTTACGTAGCATAGTAAGAGAGACAGTAATCCAAGGTAAAATATACTTTATACCTCGATTGACAGTAGAAATCCTGCTTACCATAGTAGTTTTTGTTTTCTGTGTAATATGGATGATTCTTGAAAAAAACTATCAAATAAGTTCATATTTTCGCTCCAACCAAAATTAGTGTTCAATCACAGAATGATTGGCTACTTTTTGCTTTTAACCTAAACTTCTTGCAAGAAATGTGCTAATAACACTCTTGACCGGAAAGGAAACTTTTTACACCTTTGCACCACAGGACAATTCTGGATAACTTCTTTGATCCATAAAAACTCAATTACTACAATTCCTAAATTATCAAGTTTGTCACTACTTTCAAGCGTACACTTTAATGTTAAAAAGAGAAAATAAACAATAAACAAACATGTATTTTGTGCAAATAATAATCATCTTTCAACTCTCCATATTTGGTAATATTCTCTGATTTATCTTTAAATATTTCAATCTTATTGCCTTCTGTAGAAGTTATATATCAAAACAGATATTTTTATGACTTTTTTCACCTAGGTTGTTAGGGAGTCTTAAATGGAGAATGTCGCTTCCTCCAGGCGGATTAATCATTTTTAAAAATAATGTCATAGCTTTACCAACAATACAATATAAAGTTGTACATAGTCATTTGAAAAATGCACCTATAAACGGAGCATTTAGTCTTTGTACCCTGATAAGTCTAGTCAAAAGATCTTCACACTAATAAAACACCTTAATGTTGGATTGGACTGTAGTCACTTGAAAATCCTTCAAATATGATACTCTTACTCTTTCTCCTCACAGTCAGGGCATGGGCTCAGAGTTAGGACGCAAGTCTAAACTAATTAGAAAGAACTATGCGGAAACTGTTCTATTCTGTCTGCTTTACTCTCCTTCAATTGTCAATGGTGGAAACCTTTTTGAGAAAATGCTCTGCCAATGGAAGATTAGCAGCCAAGAAGCCCACCTTAAATCAAAGGCAAATTAAAAATTTCAGCAAAGAAAAAAAGGAATGGAGCTTACAGAAAGGGAAAAGAATTATTTTTTCATATTTTTCCAAAGTGGAGCTTCACCCTAGGAGAAGAGAGTTTGTCTGGAGACTGTAAGGTAAGAGGGATGAGCCAAAAGATATCATTAATAGACTCCGATTTGGAGGAGTGAACATTATGTTTACAGTAAACAACTGTACTAAATGCTAAGAGTTCAAATTATAAATATTCAAACTGTAGATTACATAATATGTTATTAAAAAATAGTAAGTAGCTATTTATGCCCCAATTAAAAATAGGCCTCCTTTACTAAACAAGTCATATTTCTGAAATTAAAAAAAGAAAAAAATGTTTTTTCTCCCAAAAATGATTAAGAGAATTCGTGGCCGACAAAAAACTTCCCCAAGCGAGACTTTTGAAAGAGAGATTTCTGATTAAAAAATGGTTAGGAGCAGAAAAGTAGGTTTTGATTTGTAATTCCTTTCTTTTCTTTAAGTGTGCAAAAAGATAATCAATGAGAATATACCTGTTTGATTGTCTGACAAAGAGTTCCTTGTACTGTATAAGAAACAAATGCAACTGAACAGTGTGAGTGAGAAACATTGGAAACAAAACTAAAATTGTAACAAAATTGCTAATGAAAATTCGTAATGCAATTCTAAAAAGATATATTTGACATCAGACGGAAGTCATATTTACCCTTGCCTTAAGAATGATGATCACGTGATATGTGAATTACATATTCAAATACTTCATTCAGCTTTTCTATTCATATATTGCAATTTTATACTATTTAGACTGGGTTTTATTGTTAGGCCTAAATTATGATTGTACAATTAACAATAAAAATTTATTTATATATCTTTCACTTTATAGGATTTTGCTCTACTATTTTGTTAATTTCACTTCCTCTTTAGACTTGAGAAACATTATTAACACTATTTGGATCTTGACTGGGAAATGTTATCATTAACTACTTCGCAATTGAAATATTGCCTTATATTTCTTCTATCAACATATCTTTGTTGCATAAATTGCCTGGATTACAATACAGCATACAACAATAAGAAACTAGTGATTCTGTCTGGAAATCATAGGATTATTGATAAAATTAGACCCTCTTCTCTTGTCATTAATGCAGGGGTCAATTTAACTTTCACCTACCAAAGTTATATTGAAGTAAATGGTGGTAACGTGACAATAAATGGATCAAATAATAATCAAATTTTTATGAATGTGGAAGAAAACCCTGAAATGGCAAATGTGCAATTTTCATTTAAAAACAGAGGTTTTTTTCTAATGCTATTAATAAGATGTTCTTTATAAAGTAAGTGAAATACTAGACAGATTTCAACTGCAGATCAAGTACAAAAATGAATTCAGAGACATCTGTTGGCCAGATGAAAGTTCACATAATACCGCAATTGAGGTGTTGAATAAAAATTGATTTTTGATATAAATTTGTATAATTTAAAATAGAAATAATAATATTAACTTTTTAGCTTGTCAATCAAACTTTAGGATTACAAAATGGCTATGCGGGACATTCTTCATATTGTACTGAAATTCAATGCAATATCTTC